AAGACCTCGTCAACTCCTGCTTTGCCTCCTCTGTAGGGTCTATAAACCATATGAGTCATCTAAAAACTCCAGTCTGTACAAATGGAGCCAGTAATGGTACCATTTCCTTGCAATCAGTCAAGATCACCCCACTTATCCCATCTCCAGTTCTGCACTCCCACCTCTCAATGATGGACACTCTTCAGGACAAGGGCTTGTCTACATCAAAAGGGTAATTTCAACTTCCCAGGAAGACAAGCTGCCTGCAAGAACAAAACTCATGTTCTCAAGGAATGAGGGAAGGGGGTGAGCTTGCAGGGGGAGGTGCTTGTGATGATAACAGTAACATCAATAATGATGGCAATACATGAAGCCTTTCCAAAAAGCTGGGATCCAAACTCAGACCATATGCCTCAAAGAGAGGATCTTAGCACAGAGCAGCAGCCCGAGGATGAGAGGGTGTGGCCGGGAGTCAGGGGCCAGAACCAGGGAGCAGACCTCATGTATTCTAGCAGGCAGGGTGCAGGAAGTGTGCCTAGCCCTGGGATGCACCCAAGCTGTTTTCTACCTTTCCTGGCCAAGATCAAACAATGATCTTCTTAGCCCAGGCCTGTGCCTCCTTCATACAGCCAGTACAGTGGAAGAGAGACCCAAAGGCAACCAGCGTGTTTTTGGGAAATGGGACTATGATAGAAATGCTGTTGGAATCAGAGGGTGGAGAATGAACTGCTCGTCATCAGTGCTGGAAAAGCCAGCTGTGCACGCAGGCAGTGGGAGAGTGGGTTTACTGTGGGATCCTGACCTCACACCACACACACTGAGCCTCCAGCTGGATTACACACCTACATGTGAACAGCAAAAGAACGAACATGGTGAAAGAGAACATAGAAGAGCAAATGAAAAGATTGTTAAAATAAAAAACACAAAAGCACAAACCCTAAACAAAAACATTGATACATTAAACTGTCGTCAATTTTTAAAAAAAGTCTCTATGGTGAAAGAAATCAGGCCACATGTGGTGCTCACTCCTGTAATCCCAACACTTTGGGAGGCCGAGGAGAGAGGATCACTTGAGCCCAGAAGTTCAAGACCAGCCTAAGCAACATAATGAGACCCCATCTCAAAAAAGAAAAAGAGAGAAAAAAGGAAATCATCGGCACAGCGATCCCTAATAAAGCCACAAGGAGGTTACCTCATATGTCTGCGTTTTCTTCCAGGTGCCTACCCTGGAGAAACTCTCATGCATATGCACACGAAAACCCAAAGGTGCAGGTGCGCGTTGCAACCCCAATTTAAGAGGAAATGAGTGGAATCAACCCAGTGCAAAGTCAAGTCTGTAGAGATTGCTTTAATTAACCACAGTCTGTTAATTATCATCATGAGTGCCTGACCCTGCAAACTCCACCCCATTTCACCATCCCCAATTAAATCGTGAAGGACGCAATTAACCACAGTCTGTCAGGACAAGAGCCAAGTGATTTAAGCAAAACAGTGATAACGAAGGAGCTAGAGCCGCAAGTGTCCACACAGGTGAATCTCACAAATACAATTTGAATGAAAGCATCAAATTGTAAGAAATGCAGTCATTACTATTTATGCAAAATGTTGAAAATAAGATGTAACAATAAACACCATTTTGGTTGAGTGCCTCCATGTGAGGCTTTTAAATGAGTCAAAGTGCGTGGAGCGCCTAAGGCAGTCTGCCCAGCAGGAATGAGGCTGGTTTGAATTCTAGTCATTGTCAGCATCCTGAGAGAGAAAGCAACACCCGCTTGTTTAAGCCACGGGGTATCTGGAGTTTCTATTATGTCGAAACCTACATTTCAGTTAGTAAAAGTGGAATTGTAGGCTGAGGCCAGGGATTCCAGACCAGCTTGGGCAACCTCGTGAGACTCCATCTCTTCAGAAAATGTTAAAAATAAAAAACAAGTGGTATTATAACATTTTTTTACTGTTTTATTTCTATTAATGTTTTTTAAAAACTTACGTACTTACGAAAGAAAACACTGGCTGCATTTGATGGGAAAGGATTCGGTGGGGAGCACAGCACAAGCTTAGCAAAGGCCAGCAAATGGGAGGGCTGCAGAGGGCCACTGGGGCAGCACCTCCTCTTCAGAGCAAAGCTCCCTGGCCCAGGGCAGCACCCCTGACCTAGCCAGGGCGAGGGACCTGCGGGACCCACGGAGGGAGGAGAAACAGCCCATGGGACTTCAGATTTGCCCGAAGCACGAGTGACCTCTGATTTAGGCCTCATATGTAGCGATAATGTTTGTGTTTTTATTTCTCCTTTTGTCGTTTTGAATTCAATTATTATTCCTCTTTTTCAGTTTAAATTTGCCATAAGTCTGTATAAGATTAATTCCTTAAATTATCGAAACTCAAAGTCAGCTGAAGACTGAGCTAAGAAGAACCCCCCTGGTGGAAAAACTGGAGGAGGGGAGGGAGGCGTGGAGAAGGCCCTGGAATTTGCGGGCACCCCTCAGCTGCCCCTTTGATGGGTGCTGTGGCAGCTGGCACTGGATCACTCCTCTGGCCTGGGGCTTCCCCTGCCCCTGCTGTCTTCCTTTGATCTCCTGGACACCACCTTGTTTTCCAGCGCACTGAAACCCCAGGGAATGCTGGCTTGTCTGGGGAGCTTCCCAGGGAAAGCAGGAGGCATGAGGAGGGGACTGAGGAAGTGAACTGGAAGCCCAGCAGGCCATCCTGAAACGGGCAGGCCGCGCTGAGCCTGGCCCAGCTGGAAACAAGCAGTGAGCAGAGTCGTGCAGGACCTTCAGAGGATGTGGCTGAGTAGGTGGGCAGTGAGGGACGTGAGCCTGACCCTGGGGAGAGCACCCAGCCACAGAGTCCATGGGAGCTGAGGAGAGCGTCCTGTGTCCCGAAGAGTCAGTGGGCTTCCCCTGGCCCGCCACCTCATGTTCAGCTTCATAGAGAAGGGTCAATGGCTTGGTCCTGGTCGTGGCTAGCATTCTCTAATCATTCAAAGCAATGCGTTCAGAAATACAAGGGCTCGGTTCCCCGAAAGCAGGTCCATTTCAGTGAGGAGTCACTGGGACCTTCCTATGAGACCACACGGGAGCTCGGTGCCAGCGCCAGCAACACAAAGAAGGCAACACACAAGTCCCAGCTGCCCTGGAGACAGACAGGCCAACGAGGGCCCAGGACGAAGCTGAGTGAGACAGAACTCTTGCAAGGGGCCTCAGGAGAAAAAGCCTCCCAGGCCTGAGACCTGGGGACAGCCCCGCAGAGAGCTGTGAGCTGTGGCTGTGGGCTGGCCCACCAGGCCCTCCAGGCCCTGTGGTTTCACTCTGGCCTCAACAACATGTTGACCACGTCCTTGGGGCTCCACGACCTTTATATTCCCGTCTCTCTCCACCTGGCAAGAGCAGCCACCCCAGGCCGCTGGGGATTCAACCAGAAAATAGACACACTTGTAAGGGTCCACGGTGTCTGCATGCCTGTGGTCCCACGTCTGGGTGTCTCCCCCTCGGCTGAACAGTGAGGACAGATCTAGTGCCCCGGAGCAGATAACACTGCTCATGTAAGAGTGAGTGTGGGCACTGCCTTGGAGCGCACGTGGATATCTGCCCTCGGAGTGGTGGGAGACCCACTGGCCATTGGCAAGATGCCCCAAGTTTGCTGGCCCCTCACCTTGAAAGGTGAGAGTGACCTCGTGGGCATTGCAGGCGTCTCTTCAGACACTCGCAGCTATCCAGGTGGCAGGATTCTAGTTCTCACAGCTCCTTATGGCCCGCTCATCCCAACACCCACGAAGGCATTTCTGCCATTGCCGACACCCCCTTCCCACCCCCACATGCACCATCACTCTCCAGCTAAGGAACCACATTGCTTTAGCTTCAGCTGCAGTCCCAGTGAGCTCCACGCCATCAGAGGACGGATGCAGCCCCCTTGGGCGGCGTTTTGTGACACATCCGGCTGCTTCCTGGAATGGTCACATTGAGTGGCTTTTTCTTTGCAAATGGGCTCTAGAAACAAACAATTATTCTTTATCACCAGCCATGCTGTCTGAGCCTGTCCCCCATCCTGTGTGCCCCGCCAAAGCCAATCTCATCCCCCGACCTCCGTGGCCCTCCAGGTGAGTCACTTCTCACTGTGGTTTGGTCTGTATGCCCTCCCCAGGAAGTATTCTGAACCTACACCACCGCAGGCTTCAAGGCCGGGAACACCACCATCCTCTGGAAGCTGGTGAGAAATGCAGGTTCCCCGGCCCTGCTCACAGCTTCTGGGTCAGAATCTTTGGGTGGGGGAGCCAGGAACTTGCATTTTAACATGACTTCAGGGGATGCTGGTTTCTTCTGAAGTTTACAAGGAGCTGTGGATAAACATCGAAGGCATGTTTCCCGGGGACAAAGCTTTAATTAAGTCTGGCCTGGGAAGAGCCCCGTTCCCTGCTGGAGTTGGAGACTCTGAGGGTCTTGGTCCTCAAGACTGTGACACTGAGCTGTGCTGGCTGTGGCCACAGGAGGGCACCCGTGACAACCAAATGGGCGCACCTCAGCCACCCCGGGGCGTCTTCTTCCTCTCTCAGGCTCTCCAGTGCTCCAGCTGCAGGCGTCCACCCGTCCTCCAAAAGCCTTTGAGGGATGGGGGCGGCCATAACCAGCCAGACCCCGGCCCAGCACTTGGCAGCGCGTGCCTGGGCTGGGAAGCTGCCCTCGGGGAGGCACAGAGAACAGGGTTGAGGACGCCTGCTCTTGGTTTCCTGAACCCCTGTCCCCGACCCTCAGGCTGGTGCCCCCCTCTCGAGACCTTTAGCGTAGGGGGAGGGGATGGGGAGGCAGACACCTCCCGGACTCCCTGCCTCTCTCTCGAGAGGCGCAGCGTTTTCCCGAGCTCACCCACGACCCTGGCACCCACTGTCACCCTTTCTATCCTTTTCACCTCTGCCTTTCCACGGCTCCGCCCCTCCCATCCCAGTCCACTGCTGTGTCCTGGGGTCCCTGTCCACTCAAACCTCTTACACTTGTATTCCAAGGTCTGACTCTGGGGTGCCCCGTGGAGGTCTCCTTCTGCCGTCGGGGGTGCTGGGCCGCTGGGGCTGGGGCTCATGTCCGGGGCACCCTCTCTCCCATTGCTTGTCCTTCCCAACCCACCTGCCTGGGTGTTCACGTTCCTCTACCCTGAACAGGAGGTGATTTAACAGGCTTTGGCGGAAGGAAGCGTCTGTATGGGAGAGACAGGGTGTGGGAGAGCCATGAGGCCTGGAGGAGGCGTTTCTGCACCAGCAGGTCAATTTAAGGGCCAGACTTGAGCCCTGGGAGGCTTCAGTGGACACCAGGGCTCTGAGGGGCAAAAGCAGGGGCTGTTGGGCCCTGCAGCATGTTGGGTCCGCAGAGGAGGGCTCTGCCCTGGGCACTGTCACTGCTCCTCATGGGCCTCCAGCTGCTGGTGACCTACGCCTGGTGTTCCGAAGAGGAAATGCGTAGTGATAATAAAATGGTCCAGGATCCTATGTTCCTGGCCACAGTGGAGTTTGCCTTGAACACTTTCAACATGCAGAGCAAGGAGGAGCATGCCTACAGGCTGTTGCACATCCTGAGTTCGTGGAGGGAGAATAGCAATGAGAGAAAGGTTGGTGATCACATCCTCTTCTGGCCTGTCCTTCTCCATCTGCCCCTAAGTGAGGGACCAAGGCATCTGGTCTGGGAAACTTGGTTCACCATCTGCAGTCCATACTTGGGTAGTCCAGACCTAATTATGGTAGTTTCAGTTCTGGAAAATATCGAACTCAGAGATTGTTTTAAATTAGGTAAATGTCTATTCACATGCAAGATGTATTTTTCAATCTTCATGATTTTTATGACATTGTATACCTGAAGAGTGACTTCGGAATAAGGACTTCTAAGGAGATGAAGCTGACAGGAAGGGAAAATGTCTAAAGAGACTGAAATACTCTAAGGTCATAAAATGAAAATAGAAAAGCACACAGAGGCACAGGACAGTGAGAATTTGGGGGCAATAAGGAACACCATCAGCCCCAAGAGGCCGCTGTGAGAGGTCAGTTCTCTATTTCCACCTTCCCTGGGCTCCTCCTTCTGTCTTTTACACTCTTCCTCAGTCAATGGTCCTTCATCCTAAAATGCTTGCCTTTTTGATGAAATCATTAATGCAGTCGGGAGTGCACAGTTCCTCTGGGCCGCAGGCATGAACAATTAAAATGCGCTCCTAATGGAGCACTTCCGGTTTTGGGGGAGAAGGAGCATTGGCCTTCCTTTCTCAGCACCAGGAGGCTGAAAGAAGGGCAGACAGTCTCCAGAGCTGCACAGAGCTGAAGCTCTGCAAAGACTCTGTGCAAGACCCTGGCTGGTGCTCTGCCACCTGGGGTGGAGTCTTCACTGCTGTCCTCAGGATCGCAATGCCTGTACAGAGGAATTCCCCTCCTTGCTCATTTGTTGCCTCCTCCCAGGAGAGTTAGAAGCCTGATGCACCAGAGGGGCATCTGGTCAGGTAATGGTGTCTGATAAGATTCATGCTGGAACCTTGGAAGCCTCCGAGATTGAGATTGGCCAGACCTCCTGCTTCTGTTTTCCCAGAGCTTTGCTTGATTCTCTAAGACCTCAGTGTAAGCCTCCGTTCTGATACCGTTAGAATAAAATCTAAGCTCCTTACTATGGTCTGTAAGTCTCAAATGACTGTAAGTCCTAAAAGCCTTCCACGTGGCTTCCTGGATGTGGCAATCCCAGAGTCAGTTTGGGGGCTGGGAGGAATGCGTGGATGGGGAGGGAGGGTATGGAGTGGAATGAAATGGAATGGAGTGGGAAGGCGAGCAAGGAGAACGTCAGTGTGCACTCTGCAATAGGGCAGATGGTGTTGCCTGAAGCCCTTTTCCTAGGGTTTGTGCCTGCGTGTAGTGAGCGCTGTAGGTCCTTTTTCTTGCCGGAGGTCAGGTGGAAGGTTTGACAACAGGCTGTAGATGCAGCTCCCTCTGCCCCAGGGCTGAGGGTACCCTGAAAACTCTTGGAGAGCCAACACTCTCCTGGACATGTGGCTCTGTCCTCCGGGAACGCAGCTGCAAGATCAGAGGCCTGCTGAGAGTGATGCTGGAGTCTCACCGTGGGAGAGGGGGGTGGGTAGAGGTGGAGCATGTGTTAGTGGGGTCTGACTCAGCCTGCGTCCTCCCCAGCCCCACCACGCCCACCCACCTGCTCTTTGCTGTTACCTCCTCAGTCTAGAGAAGATCCTGTGTTTTACCTCCAGGGAGCTGATGCCAGGCCCATGGGCAAGCTCCCAAATGCAGTAGGGTGTTGGGGCCTCTCCTACACAAATGACACCTTCACTTGCAGCTACTTGGGGGCAGGAAGACAGTGCGTCCACTTTATCTTTTTTTTTCCCAACAGTGGCGAGGTAAGATGGCGTTCTCCATGAATCTGCAACTGCGCCAAACCGTATGTAGGAAATTCGAAGATGACATTGAAAACTGCCCTTTTCAAGAAAGCCCCGAGCTGAACAATGTAAGACAGGGCACCAGCTTCTCTCATGTCCACAGCTGAGGATGTTGCGTGGGATGTGGTGTGGGCACAGGAGCAGCTGATAAAGCCATTCTGAGGGACAAAGGCAAGTGAGCCCACAGCAGGCTCTACCAGGCTGCCTTGCCTGTGCCTTAGTGGGGAGCCGTGAGGCAGGAAGCCTAGGGGTCTCCTTCACTTTCAGGCTCCTGGCCAATCTGGGTTTCCTTACTTTGCCCTCTGACACCATTGCAGCTGCCTGCACGTGGGCCACGTGGCCTTCAGAACCTTCTCTCTGGTCTTCCTCTCTACTTCTTCCCTGTCTTCTAGAGAAAGATCCTGGAAACAGTGGTGACAATGTCTGTGAGTGCTATTCTCAGGGTTTTCCTACCCTGCCCTAGGCTCAAAAGCGGTGGAGGCTGAGAAGAAGCCCCCCTGCCTCACTCTCAGGCCCTGCTGAGCTGCAGCACCTGCTCTAGGGGACAAGCGCCAAGCGAAGCCTGGCTCTGGGAAAACTCTTCTCATTCTTAGTCAGCCCCCTTACTGTAAGATGAACAAATAGGTAGCTAGTGGCCTCAGCCTGGGAATGCTTCCACGGGGACAAAGCGTTCTCCTGCTGCTCTTGGGTGCAGAGATCACATAGGGACATCCTGGGGTTCCGCTAAGGGCCACTGGCTGGAGGAGGAGGCATGGCACAGGTGACCCTGGCTAAGGAGGGAGCCTCAAATCATAATGCGATTCAGGGTTGGCGTCAGGCTCAGGCTAGACCTGAAGGCTGGAGCCATGTGGCTCAATTGCTGGCCCCGGGAATGGGCAAGGTGGCGATGGAACCCGTGTTGAGAGGGGATGCCACGAGATCCCCAAACCTCCCCCACCCTGGCCCTGCTGCCTCTTCCTGTGCTTGTTCCCTCAGACCTTCAGCTGCTTCTTCACTGTGGAAACCATGCCCTGGAAGACATATTTCGAACTCCTGAACAAGACCTGCTCAGAGGGTCTCTCCTGAGTGGAAGCCACTGACATGCCTGGCCACACGCTGTCCCCTCCTCTACGGACACCAGCTGTTCCCAGGAGTTGACTGTTCACATCAGTGGCTGAGCAGCTCCTTGCATATGTGTTCTCTCACTTTGCAAGTGTCTGAGGTGTTACGGCTTGGCATTTTAGAAACATCTCTTTGTCCAGGTTCTTCCTGTAGAATAGGTCATTAAACATCAGCATTTCCAGAAGCTTCCTGTGCCATGTGCTGGAGAAAGGGGGCTGGGCAGTCGATGGAGTTCCTCTCAGAAGGGCAGCCTGTTTGCATCTGGATCGGTGGGGTCTTCCCTCCCTTAGGACCCTGTGAGCCAGCTCCAGGTGGCACTGCCAAGATGAGTCTGAGCTGCTGTCTCCAGGCGCATGGCTGATGATGGCCCACGTGGCCAGAGGGAAAATGTCTGTGGTCTTCCGGGGCACCCAATGTGCACGATGGAGCAAGATAGGGCCTCTGGTCCCACTCAGCACACTCAGAGGGCATCTGGTCAAGCAATGGTGTCTGATAAGATTCACGCTGGAACTGGCCAGACCTCATGCTTCTGCTTTCCCAGTGCTTTGCTTGATTCTCTAAGATCTCAGTGGCTGCTGCTCTTGAGGGACCCACCACCTTTCCTGGTCCGTGGAAGCTTGGTGGGTAGAGGAAGGACTTCTAACCTCACCCTTATAAAGTTGTCCTGGCATGCAGAGCAGCAGCATCTTCTGGAAGAATCTTAGAAATATCCAACTTCAGGGCCTCTGACCTTTGGAAAATGCATCTGCCCTCTCACAAATCCCCAGGAATGCAGAAATCCCCTGAAAATGCAGGATTTGCAGGAATGTGCACCCCCAGGGGATGCAGCGTGAGATGCACGGGCAGGCTGGATGCCACTAAGACCCTGGCCAAATCACCTAAACCGGAGGTTGGCCAAAAAAAAAAAAAACAAAAAAAAAAATTCTGAAGAAGCCAGAGAGTAACTATTCCGGCCTTTGTGGGCAAATGGTCTCTCTCAACTACTCAGCATTGCTACCATATCTTGAAAGGGACAGTAGCCAAGCAAACACATAAGATTGGTAGTGTTCCAATAAGCGTTTGTTTACACAAACAGGCAGTGAGCTGCTTGGGCCTTGGGCAGTAGTTACCAGTCTCTAACACTAAGCCTCCTCTGGTGCCCGAGATGTACCATGCTACCAGCTTCCACACCAGCACCTGCGTCTCCCCCAGCTTCGCTCAGGTGTTAATCTGTGCAAATGGGCTCCATCAGCAGAGCACACTCCAGGTTTGGAAGAGGTCAAGTCTGAGGGCCACATTCTGTCACTGGAAATGAGCGGTGTATGTCTCAGTCTTCTCAGCTCAGGGCACCCAATTCAGAGTTGAATTTTTGGATTTACATCCCAGCAGGATATACTGCTGTGGTTCAGAGTCTGGCCTCTAGAAAGAAACCATCACATTCTCCAGCTAAAAATTAATTACTCTTTCTGGACAAGACTTAAGTTTCTTTTCCATAAATATGCCTTCAGCATTTATCTGCAGTTACTTGTGAACTTCAGAGGGACTAGAATATCCTGAAGGCAAGTTCTAAATACCCTAAACCCAAGTTCTTATTCTCCCTATCCCCCAGGAATCTCCCCACTAGGCCTTGGCAGGCCCAGGGAATTTGTGTGTCTCACCAGCTCCCCTGGGACAGACACGTTCCTGTTCACCAGACCACACTTTGAATGGTGCAGGTTCAGCAGACATCATTGCAGTGTTCGTGCAGACCAAACCACAAGTGAGAAGTAACTCACCTCAAAGGGCACTGGGGTGAGGCTGAGAATGGTTTCTTCAGCACACATTGAATTGGGGAAGGGGTCAGAACACTATGCCTGATTGTAAAGAAAAAGGAGAGTTTCTATTGTATGTATATGGTTATTGCTTTCTTTTTTTTTCCATTTATTTTATTGGATTTTAGGTTTTGGGGTACATGTGAAGAACATGCAAGATTGTTGCATAGGTACACACGTGGCAGTGTGATTTGCTGCCTTCCTCCCCATCACCTATATCTGGCATTTCTCCACATGCTATCTCTCCCCAACTCCCCACCCCCCACCATCCCTCCCCTATTTCCCCCCAACTGACCCCAGTGTGTAGTGCTTCCCTCCCTGTATCCATGTGTTCTCATTGTTCAACACCCGCCTATGAGTGAGAACATGCGGTGTTTGATCTTCTGCTCTTCTGTCAGTTTGCTGAGAATGATGGTTTCCAGGTTCATCCATGTCCCTACAAAGGACACAAACTCATCATTTTTGATGGCTGCATAATATTCCACGGTGTATATATGCCACATTTTCCCTGTCCAGTCTATCATCGATGGGCATTTGAGTTGGTGGTTATTGCTTTCTTATAGGCAATGTGCTCAGAGATTAAACTATTGCCCAATGTTACAATGTCCTCTATTAAAGCAAATAATAGGTCATTATCATGAGGTTGCTTTTGTACTTGGAACTCTTTCTTAAGTAAATCAAAACTTAACTTGGAGGCATTTCTCATGGCTGACTTATAAATTAAAACCTAGCATCAATCAATCACAAACAGCCAGCCAGTTAGTTACATAACTAGGGACCTCTGATCACAAGATACGCAAATAAGGCAAACACCTAGGACCAGGAACATCACCATTCCCTGGGTGCTGGTTAGAGATGGGATTTTCCTGGCCCCGCCCACACCTACTTTGTCAGTATCTTGGGAAGTAGGGTAGCTAAAACTTGGGTTTTAACATGCATTCAGGCGATTCTGGTGTCTGAAGTTTACAAGTGCCTGCAGATAAATGTTGAAGTCATTACACCTATCATTACATCAAGCCCAAATAAATCTAGTTAAGCCAATCAGATAATTTCTTTACTTTGCTGCCTTGTTTAGCCTGTGAAACCTTGCTGTTTATGCTACTAGAGAAAAGCTTTCTCAATCTTTTCCAGTTTTGAGTGTTGCCCAATTCATGAATTCTTCTTTGCCCAATAAACTCTGTTGAATTCACTTTGTCTGAAGTTTCTCTTTAACAATTTCATGTCAGATGTGGAATCCTAAGACAAACCCCAGCAGCATCTATGAAAACCTACTACCCAAGCCAAGGCACCAACTGAGCCATGGTGCTCTCTTGCTGCAGCTGGAAAGTGGGGGTGAGTTTCCTTCCAAATAGGAGCTCCAGAAACTTGCATTTTGACCTCGCCAACTTTGTTTGCACATTTCCTTAGCCAGACTCCATTCAGAATCAGAACGGATCCAATAAATAGCAACCCTGAGACCAATTAGAGCCCTCAGGTAGGTATTTTCTGAAAATTGATTTCTCCAAAGAAAGGAGCCTGGGACTCCACTAGCTGGGATACTGGTTAATTTCATGTCTGATAATTAGGGACCAGGAACCTTTATATTTTTGGACAAACAAGTTAACCTTGCTAAGGACAACTTAGAATGACAGCATTCACACAGGGAAGTTTTAATCTTGGCAATATTGTTCATTTTCAAGGTGCAGTAGAAATGAATCCAAAACATCTAAAAGCAATACCATCAATAATAACAAAATAAAAAAACAAAACTAATGGAACAATGGGTTGTAGCTTTCATTAGCATGCAGAAGCTCCTAAATAATAAAATGAATAAAAACTATCTTTCTAAAAGTTTCCTCTCAAAAAAGAAAATCAGAAGTCTTTAAAGTTTTTTTCCATATATATTAGTAAAAAACTTTAGCTTCTTAGCAGGCAATTTTGTTCCATCCGTCACAAGCACAATTCGAATCAAGATATATTTTATAAACTTGTGAGCTTTGTATTATTGTACCTGGCACATAAGTAAAGTTCTAAAGTGAAAGCTATGCTATTCGCTTCTGTCTGTACGTTTCTGTGTGTTATATGCATATGTTATATGTTCCTACCTCTGGATGGTATTATCAAAATTAATATAAAAAGGAGCTCAATTTAATTGGCTTAAAGAAAAATAAGCACTTATATAAATGAAACATTTACTAAACTCATAGAACAATAGGAACTACCGTAAAATATTTTCCCAGTTCATGTGATCTGGAATAATTTTTCAGTAAAAAAGAATCTAGTTTATGTTGGTTGGTTGAATTAAAACAGGCATTTCTTTAGAGTTGTCAGGATTAAATATGCAAACACACAATTTTATTCTTCATAGGTTTACTGGTCATGGGAGTTATGTAATGTCTACCAAAAGTTTAAGATTATTAAAGTATGCATTTGACTAAGAACAAATGTGCAAGTCAAAGCATGGTGTCCATTGCTTCACGTATCTCAAGCAGAGATACAAAAAATGAAAAGAAAAACATGTGTTTAACTTTTTAGAATTCTGGCTTTTATGATGGCTGCCTAACATGCACATTCTTTGAAAACAGCTAAAAGAAAAATAATTTGATGATGGCTAGACTTGTTTGGTGTTACAAAATATCTAATCAGCTTCTCAAATCTCTTTTGTACTTTTTGGGGTTTTGGTAGCGAACTTAAAGAATGTGTATTAATTGAATATCTAGATCATTTACAAATAAGATAAAATATTAAATATTATTTGGTAAATGCAAGATTTCTGACTTTTGGCTTCTTATTACAAAAATATTAAAAACATTTGGTCATTTAGTAAACATGCCCTATGCCACATTGAAAAATGATACCACGAGGAAGCAGATGCTGTGAGAAATGATCAAATAATATTAACTTACAGAATGCTCATATGTCACAAGCCATTTACTCTTGCTTACCCCCTAGTTTTCACTAGAAATTCAAGGTACAAGTAATTAAGAGTTATAACTAACATATGATAATTAATGATGGAAATAATAAGAGAAACAACTTTGTATGTGGGACTAGCAAGACAAGTTTTGGTAGGTGAAGCCCTGAGATATATGCAATGTGTTTTTCTTTAAAGAGAAAGGCTAATTTTTTTTGACCTAAAGTAGAATGGTTGGTTTTTCCATGATGGAAAAGAGAAAGCAGATAGGATAAAACCGAACTGATAGAAAAGAAGCTGCAGAAGGTTTGTGGAAAGAAATCTTGGAAAAGAAACTTCATTTGTGATAAAGTTTGATAAAATTTGAAATAAATTATTTATAATTTTGTTTCATTGATCATTAATATCAAAAGTATGCTGATGTAACACTAGAATTTGGTCTCCTATGTTAAAATGACAAGGATATCTTGGATTATTGGGATGCCCTAATATGAAATTGTGAGGTTTTTTTTTAGCTTTTTAAGAATTCTAGCTAGGAGACAAAGATTATGTCTTATCAAAACAATTTACTGTGTTTCATGTTGTCTTTTGTCAAGTCTTTAATTACTTAAGAAAACCAAAACCTCTCTATTGAAAGAGCCAAGGTTTCACCACAACAATGTAACTTTCTGTATTTGCCTTTAAAATCTATTCATCACTGTCTTGAGTAACAGTATTTTGTCACGGTGACCCCATATCCTATTTAATCAAGTATTCAAGCAGCAAAATTTTTGACAACTTCCCAAAGTCGAATTCTATTTTTTGTGTGTTTTTAAATTTTTTTTGTTGCTTCTTTCTTTTAATTTTTAATTTTTTTTTAAAGTTTATATCCAAAATCAAATTCTAAACTAAGTCTTGTGACCTTAAACTAACTTTGGGACTTTCCAGCTGGTCCATGTCACATCTCCAAAGAGTTTGTTTTCTCTCCTTACAAACAATAATAAACTAATTAGGCTTATTTGATATTTTAAACTGTATAAGAAGCGCTGTAAAATAATAAAAACCTCAGGTGGAGCATTTCCACCACTAGCTGGATCATTTGAGCACTTACAGTTGAACTTCAATCAGTTGCCACTCTCAGTGGGATAGCAATATGTTCTTTTATATATATATATATATATATATATAGAGAGAGAGAGAGAGAGAGAGAGAGAGAAAGAGAGATTGGGCTTCTCTGTGTTGGTCAGGCTGGTCTTGAACTCCTGACCTCAGGTGATCCACCCACCTTGGCCTCCCAAAGTGCTGGGATTACAGGCATGAGCCATTGTGCCTGGTCAGCAATATGTTCTTATAAAAATCTGTGTGTTCGCTGGTTGTATAGAAGCTTTCCCATGCAGGAAGGCTAGTACTATAAAATAGTAGCAGGAAGGTTTTTAGAAAATGTGTTACCTTTATGGGGAATTCCTGAATAAATCTCCAGCAATAGAAATACTCATTTCACTGGACAAGTTATAACACAGTTAAATAAGCTATCACAAGCGCGATGCCATTACCATTATTTCTATCATACTTAATTTTATGGGAGAAAGAACAAATGGCATTTTAAGGCTGAAACTGGAAAAGCTAATGAATCGACAAGACTTCCTTGGCTAAATATGTATTACTATCAGTTTTGGTGGCAATCAGATCCACTCCTACAGGAAAACACAAATTAATATTTCATGACTTGTTATTAGAAGGCCTATGCACCCAAGAATAGAGTCTTATATATCTCTTGATTTTATAAATTCCAACATGAGTCAGTGTTATAAATTTTACTGCATTATTTCAAAGTATATTTTCATCAAATAAAAGAAGGCTTACATGACCCACCAACTGATGACAAACAGACCTTTCAGAATCTAGAACCCAGAGACTGGGTCTTTAAGAAATAACACCAGAAAAAGACTGCCCCTAAACTCCACTGGAAATAACCAGCCCAAGTTCTTCTCAGTATCCACACTTCAGCAAAACTTAAGGGCCTTGAGCCCTGCGTCCATGTTTCTCAGCTCACAAGGGCCCTTTCAGACTTCTGTGACTGTATATCCACTGACCACCCCAAGGTGAAACTCTACAGTGTGGTTTCTCTCCAGAAGCAGATGGCATTCTAGCTGTAGACAGCTTCCCCAAGATCATGAATCAAGACTTCTCTTAACGCTATCACGAAGTAATTGTTCCTTTCTCTCTTTTCTCTGTGCCTTCTTTTTGTTTATGAGTGGAAGAATAATGCTGTGATCAGGATCTCCCAATCAATAGCTTCAGCAAGAATTTTAACTGAATGTTGAACGTGTCACGCTAAACTTAAATTCCTGCACAATTTTAGAGATCCTCTAGTTCACCCTATAACAAATTTTACTGATATTCCTAGTGTGACTGCCTGTTGGAATCACATATCTGGGTTATACTTTAAGACTCATACGTTCATATTTCTTGTTTAAATCTAACAGTACACAGAACCTCCAGTGAGGGTTTTGCAGTTAATTTTTGCCAGAAACTGAATTTAAAAACCAAAGGGAAAGATTATCCAACAGTTTATAGACACATTCATAACCCATGGCCTTCAGCCATGCAATAATTCAATAAAATAGCCTAGGATAAGTAATACTAATGCTTATCTTCCGGTGGCCCCTGATACACAAAGCGCCTCACAGGGAACTATCTGTTGTGCCCCTACAGGATATATTTTTATCTGTAGAAGATTTAACAATCAACCATAAGAATGAGCAAATCCGTGTTTTCCTAAATGAGAAATAAAAGGTCAATGTGCATTGCAGATTTCCACAGCACCACTCTTACTCAGTAACGGTCTGGAAGCTAAGCCTTGGTCAACACCCGTTAGTTTGCGTTGTAGAATAACAAAGAATTTGCCAGCAAGCATAAATCCCCCCAAATTTGCCTCTTGTGGTAGAATACTCCTTTCCTGTGTTGACATAAATATAAATGAGGTGATGAGAAATAGATTGCAAACATATAGCTGACTCTACTTTGAAGGTTCTAATACCACAACCTCCTCCAAAATATCTTGCTAAAGTTGTTTTAGTTAACAGCATTGCTTTGGAATACTTCTTGCTCAACAGGAAGGGGTGTGTGAGATAGTTGTCACTGTCTGCTGCACTTAGAGAATTACATGCGGTACAGGAGAAACTCAGTTGCAAGGAATCAACTAGTAAGGCACTTGTTTAAAACGAGCACATTTTTCGGCTGGGTGCAAGGGCTCACGCCTATAATCCCAGCACTTTGGGAGGCTGAGGTGGAGGTGGGTGGATCACAAGGTCAAGAGATCAAGAACATCCTGGTCAACATGGTGAAACCCCATCTCTACTAAAAATACAAAAATTAGCTGGGCATGGTGGCGCGTGCCTGTAGTCCCAGCTACTCAAGAGGATGAGGCAAGAGAATTGCTTGAACCCAGGAGGCGGAGGTTGCAGTGAGCTGAGATCGCGCCATTGCACTCCAGCCCGGGTAACAAGAGAGAAACTCCGTCTCAAAAAAAAAAAAAAAAGTACATTTTTCTTTTGGCTCATTCTTTGATTTATTTAACTTTACTTGGTTTGGTTCTTGGTGGTCTTGGTTACAGAGCATATTTTAGTCTCAGCATTTCCCTCCTGACAGTCAGATTAGCACCCCTGGTGCTCGGTGTCCTCATGAGTCTTAAATGTTTGCAAGGAACTACCTACTCTTTGTCAAATAGCATCACTCCAGTCAGAGTGACAAAAACATGAAGAACAACAAAAGGAATTACTCAGTTAGCCTGGCGTCTTATGAATGCCATACTGAACTAAGTCCTTTATAATGATGAGAGAGCAGAGTTATGCCGAAGTTTTAGTCAACCTCTCCTGATCCTTAAAGCAAATAAGAAGGCCATTAGCTTGAGGTTGGCTCTGTTCTGTAGCTTTCATGTAAGCAAACTGATGCTTACCTTGGAGGCATTACTTGTAGCTGATATTCAAAAAAACAAACCTAGCCTCAATCAGTCACAAGCAGTCAAACCGGCCAAGTGCTTCTCCAACTAGACATCTGCGTGCCCAGTCATGAATCCAAGGGAATGGTAAATTGACAAGAACAAACAAGCATGGAGCTGGTCGGCTACCGCAGAGCCACCTTTGGAGAATTGCCGGTGCCCACAGAAGGTGAGGGCAGCCTGAGCCCAGGCTTGTGGGTGGGAAGCAATCGGGGGACCCCTCTGAGCAGGTCTTGTTCAGAGCTCACACTGTGCTACCCAGGGCTGGATGCTGAAAGCGAAGAAGCAGGTGAGCATCTGGGAGGGAAAGGATGGGAGAGGCCGTGCGACAGGGGGCTCAGGAAGCCTATGGCTCCCACTCTTAGCAAAGGATCAATATCCATCTTGCTAATTTCCCAAGCTGTCAATTGATGGATGTGACTCTCGTCCTCACATGGGGCCACCCAGCCTTACTCCTGGGACATTTCTTAGCTGCTTTCAGATCTGGGGCTCCCTCTTTACTCAGGGTAACCTGTGTTAGGACCTGCTCCCCAGACAGTGGCCTCCTGTGACTCCGCAGGCTGGCTTGTGCGATTCATACCCCCAAGAGCACCAAAGGTCACTCTCTCCCCAGAGCTGCTCTCAGAGGTAAGCCAATGGTTAACCTATTAGTTAATCCTTCAATGAGTGGGTCCACCTGTCCTAGGTAGGCTGTCACCAGAACTGGGCTTCCCTGTGTCATCTGTCCTTGTCCTCTGGAGCAGGCATTGCAGCTCAACAGGGGCCAGGACAGGACCAGGGAGGGAGGGCAGTGGGGCCCCTCCTCTGCCTCCATTTACTTTAGGCTCTAGATTAGGGGAGGGGAACCCTGAGAACTACACTCTCAGGCAGAGGTGATGTTGGATCCCCACCAGGCTCTTTCTTCAAAAGGCAGAGGAAGGCTGGGGAGGAAGACCAGAGAGGGGACAGCCTCTACTCAGGCCTAGGAGACCAGGACCCCAGGGGGACAAGAGCAGTGATCCCTTGTGCCCTGGGTACAGGAAGCTATAGTGGCATGACAGGGCAGAGTCGGGAAACTCAGATTGGCCAGGGGCCTGCAAGGGGACCCCTGGCTGCCTGCCCTCTGCGCTCCCCTCTAAGGGTGGCCTGGTGGAGGCCGCTGCGGGCTCACTCCTCTAAGTCCCTTTGTCAGCTGCACCTGTGCCCACACCACACCCATGCAGCATCCACAGCTCTGGACATGAGGGAAGCTGGTGTCCTGTCTTACTGTCTTACATCATTCAGCCCGGGGCTTTCTTGGAAAGGGCAGTTGTCAATGTCCTCTTCAAATTTCCCACACCTAGTTCTCCCCAGCAGGAGCTCCATTGAGAATACGGTCTCGGACTCCACCTAAAGTACACGGAGAGATTAATGTGAGCACGCCCTCCTTGCTGCATCTAAATCCCTGCAGGTGAAGATGCTGTCAGTGTAGGGAGAGGCCCAAACATGCTACTCCATTAGAGAGCTCACTCATGGGCCTGTCATCAGCTCACTGGAGGTAAAATCCATGGGATCTTCTGCAGATTAAGAAGTTAAAAGCAAAGAGCAGGTATGCATGGTGGGTCCTGGGGCAGACACAGGCTGAGTCAGACCCCATTAATACATCTTCTGTGTCCAGCTTCACCTCCCCATCTCCCATGATGAGACCCAGCTTTACTCTCAGCAGGCATCTGATTCTACAACTGCATTCTCAGAGGACGGTGCCACATGTCCAGAAGGGTGTTGGCTCTCCAAGTGTTTTCAGGGTAACCTCAGCCCTGGGACGGAGGTGTTGTCAAACCTTCCATCTGACCTCCAGCAAGAATGACACACACCGCTCCCACTATACACAGGCCCACACCCTTGGGACAATGGCTTCAAGAAATAACATCTGTCCCATTGCAAAATGTACTTTGAAATTTTCCTTCCTCTTCTTTCCACTCCATTCTATTTCATTCCATTCCATATCCTCTTTCCTCATTCATATGTTCTTATCAAACCCCAGACTGACTCTGGGGTTCAGGAAGCCACATGGAAGGCTGCAGTCCAGAGGGTAGGGGGCAGAGAACCAGTCAGAGCCTTGCACAGAGTCTATCTAGAGGCTTAAGCTCTGGGTAGGATTGGAGTCCCTCTGCTCTTCTTGCAGGATCTTACTGCTGAAGAAGGAAAAGCAATCCCACTTCTCCCTCCTAACCAAAAGTGCTCCACTGGGAGAGCATTTTCATTGTCCGTATCTGCAGTCCAGTGCACTCCCAATTGCATTCTCTAGTGACTCTATTAAAAGAAAAACATTTAGGAGTAAAAACTGTGGTCTGAGGAAGAGTGTAAAAGAACCTTCAGTTCATTAAGTGCAGACACGCCAAGGAGCCTAGAGCAGGTGAAAATTAGAGAAGACGAACCGATCACACAGCAGCCTCTCGGGACTGATGGCAGTTCCTTATTGGTTCTGAATCTGCAGATCTCTCCCTGTCTCTGTCTCTCTCTCTCTCTCTCTCTCTCTCTCTCTCACACACACACACACACACACACACACACACACACACAGTCTCCAGTTTTCCCCATATTTTAAATATCTGTTGTTATTTTATGTCTTTGAAATGTTTCTCAATCTTTCTTTATGGACATTTTTAGTCCAAATTGTGTTTTTAACTCAGTAGCTTTACCTCCTTAGTAGTCCTTATTTTGAAGTCATTCTTCAGTTGAATAATGTCATAGAAAAGATGAAGATTGAAAAAAAAATTTCTTGCACTGTTAATCAGATTTGAATAAATTCTTAGATATTTCAAAGTAAAATGTTTTCAAAAACTTACTAGTACACTAGATTTTATTTATTTTACCTTACTATACTATAGACCTAAAATTTTACCTTACTACAGACTACAAATGATAAACCAAGACTCCTTAATTAGACACCATACCCTTGTCCATTGGTAGCAAGTAAAGGAGGGCTGGGAAGGAAAGGATGTGGTTACCAACCTTCTCTCTCCAGGAACTTAATGTGCGCACCAGCCGGTAGGCATATGTGTTCGTGCTCTGCGGTTGAATGTGTGTGGTACAAACTCCACCATGGAGGGGAAGTATTCAGCCGTGAGTATTTGGTCAACATTGTTCTCATGCTCTTTGGCAGAGTCAGGAAAGAAGAGAGAGCGGGAAAGAGAAAGAGATAAAGAAATGAAAAGGGGCAGAAGTAATGCAAAAGGGCAGACCCCTAGAAACACATATGCATATGAAAACACCAGGCACAGAAAACACATTTTAGACTAAACCTCCAATCATGAAACATGCAATAATAAATTGATAAAATATGTCTTGTCAGAACTAAAAGCTCTTGCTCAGTGAAAGCCCATGTGATGAGGATGGAAAGACAAACTACAGAGTGGGAGAAAATATTTGCAAACCATATGTCCATCAGACAACTAGTATCTAATATATGTAATAAACTCTCACAACTCAACATTAAAAAATTGGTGGTGGCACATGTTCTCACTCATAAGTGGGAGTTGAACAATGAGAACACATGGACACAGGGAGGGGAACGTCACACACCAGGGCCAGTGTGGGGATGGGGGACAAGGGGAGGGAGAGTATTAGAACAAATAGCTAATGCATGTGGGTCTTAAAACATAGATGATGGGTTGATGGGTACAGCAAGTCGCCATGGCATATGTATACCTATGAAACAAACCTGCATGTTCTGCACATGTATCCCAGGGCTTAAAGTAAAATAAATAAATAAATAAGAGAAAAATGAATCCTGATTTTGAGATCTATCCATATTGCTGCTCATTAACCTAATAAATTTATTTAAACAGCTAAAAAAAAAAATCAGTGGTGGATTCACCACCTGGAAACACACTTGAAGATTTGCGGGGGGAGGTAACAGTGGGAGTGAGACCAGCCCTTTGATTTGTGTGGAAGCTGGCTGAGGCCTGTGACTGCCAACTTTCCCCCACTTCCCTAACTACCTGCATGACACAGCAAAGGGAGCCATAATCCTCCTAGGTACACAACTTCAGCGACCTGGGAATCTCAGTTCCATCTCCCACAGCAGCCGCAGAAAGACCTGCCCAAAGAGAGTCTGAGCTCAGACACAACTAGCCTCGCCCACACCTTATGGTCCTTCCCTACCACCCTGGTAGAGAAAGACAAAGGGCATATACTCTTGGAAGTTCTAGGGCCCTGTCCACCACTGGTCACCTCTCCACGCTACTATAGCTGATGCTTTCTGTAAAGCACCACCTCCCCACAAGTGGCCAACCAGTACAAAAATAGAGCATTAAACCGCCAAATCTAAGAACCCTCACGGAGTCCGATGTACTCACCTGCCACTTCCACCTGAACACGTGCTGGTATCCATGGTTGAGAGACCCACAGACAATTTACATCACAGGATCTGTGCAGACAACCCCCAGTACCAGCCCAGAGCCTGGTAGACATGCTGGGTGGCTAGACCCAGAAGAGAGACAGTGACCACTGCAGCTTGGCTCACAGGAAGCCACATCCATGGGAAAAGGGGGAGTACTACAACAAGTGAACTTCTAGTGGGAGAAAGTAATCAGGACAACAGCCTTCAGCTCTAGGCCTTCCCTCTGACAGAGCCCACCCAAATGAGAAGAAACCAGAAAACCAGCCCTGGTTATATGAGAAAACAAGACTCTTTACTACCCCCAAAATGTCACACTAGTTCGCCAGCAATGGATCCAAACTAAGAAGAAATCCCTGAATTATCTGAAAAAAGATTCTCGAAGTCAGTGATTAAGCTAATGAGAAAGGCATCAGAGAAAAATGAAACCCAATGCAAGGAAATCCAAAAAACAATACAGGAAGTAAAGGGAGAAAAAATTAAAGGAAATAGAGAGCTTAAAGAAAAAAACAATAAAAATTCTGGAAACTTTGGACACCCTTTTAGAAATGTGAAATGCTCTAGAAAGTCTCATCAATAGAATTGAACATGTAGAAGAAAGAAATTCAGAACTCTAAGAAAATATCTTAGAATTAACCCAATCTGACAAAGACAAAAGAATAAGAAAATATAAACAAAGCCTCCAAGAAATCTGGGATTATGTTAAATGACCAAATCTAAAAATAATTGATGTTCCTGAGGAAGAAGAGAATTCTAAAAACTTGGAAAATATATTTTGGGAAATAAGTGAGAAAAACTTCCCTGGCTTTGCTAGAGACCTAGACATCCAAATACAAGAAACACAAATAACACCTGGGAAATTCATTATTCAGGAGAGATTCTTGCACATGCATGCTTATAGCAGCACAATTTACAATTGCAAAATCATGGAACCAACCCAAATGCCCATCAATCAATGAGTGAATAAAGAAACTGTAGTATATATACACAAGAGAATACTACTCAGCCATAAAAAAGAATGAATTCACAGCATTTGCAGTAACTTGGGTGACATTAGAGACTATTATTCTATGTGAAGTAACTCAGGGATGAAAAGCCAAACACTGTATGTTCTCACTGATACATGGGAGCTCAGCTATGAGGACACAAAGGCATAAGAATGCTATAATAGATCCTGGGGACTTGGGGGAAAGAGTGAGGGGGGGACAAGGGATAAAACACTGCTTAGATGGTAGGAGCACCAACATCTCCCGAATCACCACTAAGGAACTTACTCATGTAACCAAATACCACCTGTACCCCAATAGCTTATGAAATACTAAAAATATATATAAATAAAAAATCAATAAAAAGAACTTAAGAGCTCAAAGACAGAGCTTTCAAATTAACCCAATCAGACAAAGACAATTTTTTTTTTTTTTTAATGAACAAGGCTTCAAGAAATTTTGGATTATGCTACATGGCCAAACCTAAAAACTATTGGTGTTCCTGAAGAAGAGGAGAAATCTAAAAGTCTAAAAAACTTATTTGAGAGAATATGTGAAAAAAATCTTTCCTGACCTTGCTAGAGATCTACACATGCAAATACAAGTACATAAAAGAACACCTGAAAAAATCATCACCAAAAGATTTTCACCTAGGCACATAGACATCAGGTTGTCTAAAGTCAAGATAAAGGAAATAATCTTAAGAACTGTGAGATAAAAGCATCAGGTAACCTATAAAGGAAAACATATCAGATTAACAGTAGATTTCTCGGCATAAACCTTACCTGCCAGAAGGCGTTGGGGTCCTATCTTTAGCCTCCGGAAACAAAATAATTGTCAGCCAAGGATTTTGTAGCCAGTAAAACTCAGCTTCATAAATGAAGGAGAAATAAAATCTTTTTTGGATGAATGCTGTGAGAATTTGCCACTGCCAATCCAGTACTACAAGAAATGCTAAAAGGTGTTCTAAATCTTGAAAGAAAAACTTGAAATACACCAAAATAGAACCTCCTTATAGCATATATCTCATAGGGCCTATAAAACAATGATACAATAAAAAAATCAAGATACTTAGTCAACAACCAGCATAATGAATAGAACACGACCTCACATCTCAATAGTAACATTGAATGTAAATGAACTAAATGCTCCACTTAAAAGATACAGAACAGCAGAATGAATAAAAATCCACCAACGAAGTACCTGCAGTCTTCAAGAGACTCACCTAACACGTAAGGACTCAAACAAACTTAAGGTAAAGGGGTGGAAGAAGATATTACATGCAAAGGGAAACCAAAAGCAAGCAAGAATAGCTATTCTTATACCAAACAAAACAGACTTTAAAGCAGAAATAGTGATAATGTGATTAAAGCCCTCAGAAAAATCAGCATAGAAGGGACAAGGTAATAAGAACCATCTATCACAAACCCACAGCCAACATCATACTGAATGGGGAAAAGTTGAAAGCATCTCCCCTGAGAACTGGAATAAGACAAGGATGTCCACTCACACCACTCCTATTCAACATAGTACTGGAAGTCTAGTCAAAGCAATCAGACGAGAGAAACAAAGCACATCCAAATTGGTAAAAAGGAAGTCAAACGGTTGCTGTTCACTGGTTATATGATTGTATACCTGGAAAACTCTAAAGATTCGTCTAAAAAGCCCATAGATCTGATAAATGAACTTGGTAAAGTTCCAGGATATAAAATCAATGTACACAAATCAGTAGCATTGCTATACACCAGGAAAGACCAAGCTGAGAATCAAATAATGAACTCAATCCTTTTTACAACAGCTGCAACAATAAAATAAAATATTTAGGAATATACCTAGCCAAGGAGGTGAAAGACCTCTACAAGGAAAAATATAAAACACTGCTGAAATAAATCACTGATGATACAAACAAATGGAAACACATCACATGCTCATGGGAGGGTAGAAACAATATTGTGAAAATGACCATACTGCCAAAAGAAATCTCCAGATTTAATGTAGTTCCCACCAAAATTCCATCATCATTCTTCACAGAACTAGAGAAAAGAATCCCCACAGTCATATGGATCCAAAGAAGAGGCCACATAGCCAAAGCAAGACTAAGCAAAAAGAACAAATCTGGAGGCATCACATTACCTGACTTCAAGCTGTACTACAAGGCTATAGTTACCAAACGACATGGTACTGGTATAAAAACAGGCATATAGCCCAATGGAAATGAGTAGTAAACTCAGAAATAAAGCCAAATACTTACAGCCAACTGATCTTCTACAAAGCATACAAAATCTGCATAAAGTAGAGAGAGTACACCTTATTCAGGAAGTGGTGCTGGGATAATTGGCAAGCCACACGTAGAAGAATGAAACAGGATCCTCGTCTCTCACCTTATACAAAAATCAACTCTAGATAGATCAAAGACTTAAATTTAAGACTTGAAACCCTAAAAATTCTAGAAGATAACACTGGAAAAATTCTTCTAGACATTGGTTTAGGCAAAGAGTTCATGACCAAGAACTCAAGAGCAAATGCAATAAAAATAAATAGATGGGACCTAGCTAAACTAAATTAAACTAACAAGCTTCTGTCCAGCAAGAGAAATAATTAGCAGAGTAAACAGAAATCCCACAAACTGGGAGAAAATATTCCCAAACTATGCATCTGATGAAGGTCTAATATCCAGAATCCACAAGGAACTCAAACAAATCAGCAAGAGAAAAGCAAATAACCCCATCAAAAAGTGGTCAAAAGACATGAATAGACAAGTCTCAAAAGAAGATATACAAATGACCAACAAACACATGAAAAAATGCTTAATATTTCTAACTATCAGAGAAATGCAAATCAAAACTGCAAGAAAAGTGAAGTTAGACCCCTACATCTCACTATATTAAAAAAAAAAATGATTAAATTCTTAAATTTAAGACCTGGAACTGTGAAACTTCCAAAAGAAATCATTGGAAAAACATTTCAGGATACTGGTGTGGGCAAAGACTTTTTGGGTAAGGAATTCAAAAGCACAGGCAACAAAAACAAAAATAAACAAACAGGATCACATCAAGCTGAAAGCCACTGCGCCACAAAGACTGAATGGGACATACTTTCATGTCCCTTTGTATGCCTTATAATTTTTTTGAAAAACTGGGCATTTAAATGCTAAATTGTGGTAACTCTAGGAGTCTGAGTCTGCTTTCTCCTTAAGATTTACTGCTGTTTTCTGTGGATTGTAATTGTGTCTTTGTTTAGTGACTTTTCTGAACTATGTGCAGAGTGTGTTACTTGTCACATGTGGTCAAAGTCACCAAACAATTGTAACAGCAATGACAATCTTCCAAAACTAGCTCACGAGGTGCATGTATTGGGCACACCTTCAATGCTTAGGCCACTCACACCTTGGTCCTGGCCACGGCTTCTTGCTTGAGCTGAAGTTGAAAGTCAGGCAGAGATGCAAGTTCAGGGTAACCTCTGGTCTTTCTTGACCTGTCTCTTGTTTTTGAACTGACCAAAGACCTATCTATGAGCTAAAACTGTGTCAATTTGCACCATTATTTTTGTTGTCATTATTTCATTTCCCAATCTCAGTTTTTAGGGAACCGACGAGAAGGTTTCATTTCTGTCTAACTCATGCAGTGGGAAGGAATCCTGCAGTGCTGGCTTCTGCCTTACAATTATAAGCAAGACTTTGCCAAGTGAAAAGGAGAGTACGAATCTTGTGTCATGGATCCCTTGACTTGTGAGTTGTGCTTGACTGAAAATCTTTCTCAAGTGAAAATCTTTCAGAATGCAGTAGATCTCACAAATAATTTTGCAAATAGTTGTGTGGCTGAGCTGTTTGTTTGCCATGAGTAAATAAATATGAGGAGATTGAGTCAGCTAGGCTTGATCAGAAGACACATGACATTTCAACAACCCAATAGGGTCCAGACAGGTGGCTCATGCCTGTAATACCAGCACTTTAGGAGACTGAGGTGGGAGGATCACTTGAGGCCAGGAGTTTGAGACCAGCTTGGCCAACATGGCAAAACTCCTTCTCTACTAAAAATATAAAATTAGCTGAGCCTGGTGGGGCATGCCTGTGATCTCAGCTATTTAGGACGCTGAGGCAGGAGAATCTCTTGAGCCCAGAAGGTGGCGGTTGCAGCAAAGAGCCAAGATCACGCCACTGCACTCAAGCCTGGGTGACAGAGGGAGACTCTAGTCTCAAACAAAACAAAATCTGAAAAAAACAAAAACAAAAAAACATGAAACAATGCAACAGTGAAAGATTTCACCTGTCATCATTGCTAATCAGGACACAGGTTTCAGCCACTCTGTGTCACCCACTTCCTGGAGTTGGGGCAGAGGATCAAGATGCAGGTGGCGCATGGCTCCTGCACAGCAGCTCCCCACATACTAGCTGCTTTCTTCCATGCGTGGTGGGTGGGGTCTCCTGTGAGCAGACACTCGGGACCTGATATTAGATCAGGCAGCAGGGCTCTTCACCTGCAGCTTTCTTGACCTGGCCAGTGCTGTGCTAGTATGGACAGATGCAGTGACACTCTGCCTGGGGCTGGCCCTGCTGTGACCTGGGAACAGGTGTGGGACACGGTCAGAGCAGGTCTTGTAGAATCAGTCTTGCTGACTTGGGACTGGTCGCTCCATTCTGTTATCTGGCAACAAGGCTAGGTTCTTGCCCATATTGCACTGCCATAGTCTTCTCAGCCAAACTCCCCGCTCTCACTTTTTCATACTTCACCAGTCCTGCACTATTTAATGTCCATTCTTATAGCAGCACAATATTATCATTTCCTCCTTCAGATTAGTTATTGCCAGGAAATTGATTTAAATGTAACCACCTGGCCAGGTGCGGTGGCTCACGCCTGTAATCCCAGCACTTTGGGAGGCCGAGGCGGACGGATGACGAGGTCAAGAGATCGAGCCCATCCTGGCCAACATGGTGAAACCCCGTCTCTACTAAAAATACAAAAATTAGCTGGGCATGGTGGCGTGTGCCTGTAGTCCCAGCTACTCAGGAGGCTGAGGCAGGAGAATTGCTTGAGCCTGGGAGGTGGAGGTGGCAGTGAGCTGAGATCACGCGCCGCTGCATTCCAGCCTGGAGACAGAGAGAGGCTCTATCTCAAAAAAAAAAAAAAAAAAAAAGAGTAACCACCTAACATCACCTAAGTGTTGGCAAAATGTCTCACTCTAGAACACCAAGAAGGATAGTCAGATGGAGACCAAAATGATCAAGGGTCAGAAGAATAGCCCAAACTCTATCTCATTGAGACAGAAACATGTACTCTCCCGGGCAAGTGTTTAAACATTTGATCTAGAATGGTGTTCCAGTCACAAGACGTAAGTGTCTCTGGTGGGGCTGCAGATGTTGGGAGGTGAAAGTTTGGCTCTGGCTCAGATGGAACCAGGGCCGACAAGGCTTAGAAACGCATGCAGCGCTGGGCTGGGCATGACCGGGCTGGGGCCTCAGGACTTGGGTCTCTGTCTTTCCTGCCCTTTTCTCACAATATTCATTGTCCCTTCCAGGTCAAAATGGTTGATAAAAGTTGCCATTTTTTTTCTTAGCATTTTTTCCCTTGGTTCACAGAGTACAATTGTTGAGATATTAGACAACAAAAGAACAAACTGATATCTTAGTTATTTTTCTGAACAGTGGAGATCCTTTTTTTTTTGGGTGAAGGAGGAGAGAGTGAGAGTCAAGATTTCCCCGGGTCTTATCTCAGTTTGCTGTGGGAGGTGAAGGCACAGAATCATCCAAGGACACCAGGCACCTGAGGACACCCAGAATCTGTTGAAGCAGCTTTGATATCTAGTGGCAGAGGGTAGCTCCTCTCCTGCCTGTGCCTTGCACTGCCCTAGAGAAAATAGGGCAGAAGGAAGGCAGATGAGTGACTCCACATGCAGAGCTGCCTCCCTTTAATCCAGGATTCTGTCCTTCCTGTCCTGTAGAACTGCCTGTCACCAGTGTGGGCTGAGACAAGTTTGTCTCACAGAGCTGTCTTCTCCTTGGGGCCAAGTTTGCAGCTACTCGGTGTCACATGCTGACTCAGTTTGGCACCTGACCACTCAGCCTGCTTCTTGAATCTTTTGGGAGGACAGTGCAAGAGCAAAGCTTTGGTGCAGCTGGTGACCTGAGAAGCTCACCTGTAAGGGCTACAGATGACACAAAGCCAGGGGCCAGCAGATGAGCTCCCAAGGCTCAGGCCTCACAAGGAAACCAAGGGACCAGGGCTCAGTGTCCTTGTGATGCTCACCCTCCCACCTGGTAAAAGGCAAGCTCTTTACTTCCTCTTATGGATTTCCACACAATCTGTGTGCTTCTTCTTTTTCCTTCTGTGACTATTTCATGATTTAAAATTCACCCTGCTATACAGGGCCAGCCATAAGCTGTATGGTGGAAATAACTTAAACTGCCTTGGCTGGAGGAGGCGAGGCAATGTGTGGGAAGGGACAGGGCGTCCTGGCAGAGCTGAGGACCAGTAGGAGGAGTCTGTGCCTGAGCGGATGAGATTGAGGGCTGCGCCTGGGTCCAGCTAACTCCTGTGCACACAGGGGCTGGGAAGAGCAAAGGCAGGGGTGGCTGCTGTCAGCACTATGCCAGGCCTGCTGCAGAGGGGGGCTCTGCCCTGGGCGCTGCTGCTGCTTCTCTTAGACTTTCAGCTCCTGCTGACCCATGCCTGGCATTTCCATGAGCAAAGGGACTGTGACGAATCCAATGTCATGGCTCGTTACCTCCCCGCCACAGTGGAATTTGCCATATACGCCTTCAACCAACAGAGCAAGGACCACTACGCCTACAGACTGGTGCACATCTTGAATTCCTGGAAGGAGCAGGTTGGTGACCATGTCCTCTCTTGCCCTGGCATCTGCTGCTAAGGGAGAAATGGGAGTGGGGTGGGGACAGGGGTTCTTATTGAAGATTATTGTTCACTAGTTATAGTCCATACTTGAGATAATACAAGGTAACTTAGTTAATTTTTGATTTTGAAAACATCTAAGTTAGGAATTTTTAAAAAATTGATCCTAATCGACTCTCATGCAAAACGTATTGTTTAATCTCCGTCTTTTTATGACATTATTTGGCTGAATAATGACTTCAAAATGAGGACTACCAAGAAAACAAAGACACAGAATAAAGAAAAGGGCTAAACAGAAAATGTCAATAGAGAGTAATTAAGAAATATTTCCCAAAAATGTGATTTTAAAAAAGGTAATTATAAAAATAAAAACTAAAAAAGAGAACAGTAAGGGTTGAGGAGCAGTAAGAAACCCCCATCAATCCCAAAAGACCTCTGGGTGGTCAGTTCCTCTTTGCTGATTTCTACCTTCTCTGCGCACCTTGTTGTGTCTGTGCTTAATAAACTGAAGGCTCTTTTACACTCTTCTTCAGACCGGGTCTTAATGCTAAATGTTCTCCTTCTAATGGAGTCACTACAGAATGCAATCAGGAACACACTGTTCATTGGCACTGCAGGCATGGACGATGAAAATCGTCTCCAAGTGGAGGGCTTCTATTTGTTTTGTTTTGTTTTTGAGATGATGTCTCGCACTGTCATCCAGGCTGGAGTGCAGTGGTATGATCTCTACTCACTGCAACCTCCGCCTCTCAGATTCAATTCTCCTGCCTCAGCCTCCGGAGTAGCCGGAATTATAGGTGCCTGCCACATGCTTGGCTAATTTTTTGTATTTTTAGTAGAGACGGGGTTTCACTCTGCTGGCCAGGCTGGTCTTGTACTCCTGACTTCATGATAAGCCTGCTTTGGCCTCCCAAAGTGCTAGGATTACTGGCTTGAGCCACCATATCCAGCCCTAGATGGTGTTTCTTGAAGCCATTGTCCCCAGGGTGTGTGCCTATGTGTAGTGGGAGTGCTGGGTGGCATTCTTGCATTTTTTTATTGGAGGTCAGATGGAAGATTTGACAACAAGCTGTGGATGAGGCTCCCTCTGGCCCTCAGGGCTGAGGTTACCCTGAAAACTCTTGGATAGCCAACACCCCCCCTAGGCACATGGGGCCATCCTCTGAAAATGCAACTGCAGGTTCAGACACTGGCCGAGAGTGAAGCTGGGGTCTCGTCATGGGAGAGTGGGAAGCACAACTGGAAATGAGGATACATTTGTGGGTTATGACTCAGCCTGTGTCTGCCCTACCATGCCCATCTGCTTTTTGTTCTTAACTCCCCAATCTAAAGATCTCCTGATGCCAGGCCCAGGGTTAGCTCCCTAATGGAGAAGAGTGTTGGGAATTCTCCTACACCAGCAGCTACTTAGAGGCAGCAAGCGGGGCGTGTTCACATTAATCTCTCCGTGTACTTTAGGTGGAGTCCAAGACCGTATTCTCAATGGAGCTCCTGCTGGGGAGAACTAGGTGTGGGAAATTTGAAGAGGACATTGACAACTGCCCTTTCCAAGAAAGCCCAGAGCTGAACGATGTAAGACAGTAAGACAGGACACCAGCTTCCCTCATGTCCAGAGCTGTGGGTGCTGCACGGGGTGTGGTGTGGGCACAGGTGCAGCTGACAAAGAGACTTAGAGGAGTGAGCCCGCAGCGGCCTCCACCAGGCCACCCTGCTTGTGACTTTGTGAGGAGCGCAGAGGGCAGGCAGCCAGGGGTCCCCTTGCAGGCTCCCGGCCAGTCTGAGTTTCCCAACTCTGCCCTGTCATGCCACTAAAGTTGCCTGCACCCAGGGCACATGGGCTTCAGACTGCTCTTTCCCCCAGGGGTCCCAGGCTCCTGGGCCTGAGTAGAAGCTGTCCCCTCTCTGGACCTCCTCCCCTGCCTTCTGGATGAACCTGGGATCCAACATCACCTCTGTCTGTGGATGCAGTTCTCACCTCAGGGTTCCCCTACACCGCCCTAGACTCAAAAGAGGTGGAGGCTGAGAAGGAGCCCCTCTACTCTCCCTCCCAGGCCCTGCCCAGGGCCCTTCTAAGCTGCAGCACCTGCTCTAGGGAACAAGCTTCAAGTAAAGCCTGGCTCTGTGGAAACTCTTCCTGTGCTTAATCAACCCCTGAATTATAAGATTAACAAACAAGTAGCTAATCGCTGAAATCTGGGAACTGCTTCCACTGAGACAATGCATTCTCCTGCACTCTTGGGTCCAGGGATTACACCAGGATAGCCTGGGGTTCCCCTGAAAGCCACTGCTGGAGGGAGGGAACATGGTGTGGGTGCCCCTGGGTCAGAAGAGAGCTGCAGTTCAGCTCAAACCTCCAGAACAGCCCAGGACTCAGGCTTGGGGGCAGCACTTGATGGCCACGGCCTCCATCTTCCCACTGCTTGACCTGGGAAAGGACCATGTGGAGAGGAAGCCATTGTTGAGAGCTTGCGCCGTGAGCTTCCTGAGCCTCCCTGACCCACTGTCCCTTCCTGTGCTTCTTCTCTCAGACTTTCACCTGCTTCTTCACCATCAGCACCAGGCCCTGGAGGACACACTTCGGCCTCCTGAACAAGGCCTGCCTGGAAGGATTCCACTGAGGGAAAGCCACTCCCAGGCCTGGGTGTGTACTGCTCCCACATTCTGTGGTCATCAGCACTTCTCTCCTGACAACTCTCCAGTGACGGACCAGCTCTGTACTTGTTTGTTATCCTGTTTTGCAAGCATTTGAGATCTCAGACCAGCGTTTTAGAAAATCCACACACCTTGAGCCATTTAATCATGTGGTACAGATCATTAAACATCAGCATGTTCGGAAGCTTTGTGTGCTGTAGTTCTGGATGAAAGGGGTTGAGTGTTTGATGGAGTTACTCTCATCAGGGCAGACAGGGAGGATCTGGGTAGATGGATTTCCGAGCCAGCTCCAGGCGGCACAAGTGGTGCATCTGAGCTGCTGTCTCAGGGCTCAGGGCCAATAACCCATGTGGCCAGAGGGACAGTGACTATCTCCTCTCAGATACCTCATGTGCATGAATGAGCTCAGACAGGGCCTCGGGCTCCCTGGGTCTTGTGGCCTCTGCTCTTGAAGCGTGGCTCACATGCTTTTCCTGGTCCTTGGCAGGTTGATGGGTGGAGGAAAGTCTTCTAGGCTCATCCTCATAAAATGGTCCTGACATGTGAGACGGCAGCAGCATCTTTGGAAAATCTCTTTAAAATGTTGAACCTCAGGGCCTCCCCACCTTTGGAAAATAAGTCTGCATTCTCATTAATCCCCAGGGGTGCATGAACCTGGATAACAACATAAGAAACATAAAGGAGCAGCATTAAGCAAAATGGAAGTTACACAAGATTAAAGGTATAGGATTTGTTCAAGAAGGAAACCAAGACCAAGCTACTTTCTCCGAGAGGGGAGAGATTGTCCAGTGTGGGATGTGCAGGTGCATGAGAGAGGCAGGAAGGGAGTGAGAGGGCTTTGGACTTACTTACAGAGGGTTAACCGATTGCTTACTTCTGAACCAGCCTAGGTGGACAGAAAACCTCAGGAACATAGGAATTAAATTGCCCACTTTTCATGCCCAATTACATAGGATATTTTCACAATGTTTATTGCAGTAAAAATCCCTGGAGTGATACCAGCAAGTTGGCAGAATAGAAACTTTCAAAAAAGTTCATCCCTTCACAAATGCCCCAGTTTGAGCAACTACGCAAACATAAAATATCCTCACGGGAGCTAGTAAGACCAAGTGATAGATTTCAACACTTGGGTAGCACAGAAATAAGAAAAGAATGTTGAAGAGAGTAGTAGGGAGAGTTTTATATGACCCACACCATCCTTCCTCCCACTCCAGGCTGTACAATGTGGACAGAAATATCCTCTTCGTGAAGGAAGGTGAGTGAGTATTAAACTTTGCCTCAGATCTCAACACTGCACCTGCCATAGTAAAACCAGTGCCAGGCGGTCCCACAGGACCCCAGCTTTCAGGCTGGCACCATGGTCCAAGGCTACAGCCCCACCCCAACACTAAGACAGCTATTGTGGTCCCAGGTTGTAGGCTAACCCAGCACTAGGTCAGCTCTGACAGGTAAAGGCTCCAGACTGGCCCCTCAGAGTCAGTCTCCAGTTACTGCAACCCTTGACTTCAGGTCAGCACCAGAAGATATACAAGCCTGCATATACTCAAGACCATCCCCTGTGACCCTGTGCTCCAGTAAACCCAAAGATCGGGCCTATCTTAGAAGTTGCCACTGCCAGTCCAGGCTCTGCAAACCCAGGTTCTAGAATTTCCCCTGCACGCCCAGGTTCCAGGCCAGCCCCCACAGTCCCAGGACCCATAGTCAGCCTGAAGAGTTGATGACACCAGATCTGAACCAGGCCCTGTGCCCCAGGCTCCAAGCCAGTCCTCATGAATCTAGCCTCCAGGCCAACATGCACACATCTAACCTCCAGACTGGCTTCTATAGACCTATGCTCCAGACGAGAACTTGCAAATCCAGGTTCTAGGACTCCCCTGCATCACACTGCCCCAGGACCCAGGCTTGTCCCCAGAGTGCCAGGCTCAGTGAACCCAAGATCTAGACATGTTTCAGTGTATCCTGGGTCCAGAACCATAACAGTAGACTCCTGAACAAGCTTTCCCTGTGGACCAAAGCTCAAGAACCACCTGTGGACTCAGTCTTCAGGATTGCCTCTGAAAACCAAGGACCCAGGCCTATAGATGTGGAATCAGGCTCCAGGCTTTCTCCAGGGCTAGGCTAGAATCTATAGACTCAGGCTCCAGTTCCATCACAGGCACCACTCCCATCCCAGCACCTGGATGGCCACTGCAGACACAGATTTAGGGTTTCCTCAGTGCCAACTCAGCCTCTGTGGACTCAGGATTCAGACTTGCCCAGTTGATTCAGCCTTCAGGCCCAACCACATGGAAGAAGGCTATAGAACCATCATTGTAGACCCAATCAACAGGTCAATCCTGGTGAGCCCAGGCTGCAGGCCCAACCCCACAGAACCAAGCACCACGTGAGCCTGCCCAAGAACTCCAGCATCAAGCTTATCACGGACTAATTCTGGGCATCAGATCCATGCCCAGAATTCTGGACAGAATGATTGGTGAAGGGCTTTTCCTGTCAAAGTCAGTCTATATTTATTGGAACAAGTGCCTACTTAAAATGCACAGTCACCAACACATGGCCATAAGAATTGCAAACAATCAGGGAAACATGACACTATCATAAAAATAAAGCACCAGTAACTGACCCTAAAAAAAGTGGAGATTTACAAATATCTGACAAAAAAAATTCAAAGTAGTTATATTTAAACGCTCAGTGCACTACAAGAGAATATCAAAATACATATAAATAAAATCAGTAAAAGCACACACAAATAAAATTATAAGATCAAAAAAGAGAGAAACCATAAAAAAGAACAAAACAAATTCTGGAGCTAAAGACACAATGACTCACTGAAAAATTTCTTCACCAGTAGACTTGATTAACCGGAAGAAGGGGTCAGTGAGATTAAGAACAGGTCATTTGAAATTACCCTGTGAGATAAACAAAACAGAAAGCACAAAAAGAGTAAAGAAATCCTACAGAATTTACAAAAACTTATCAAGCAAACCAATGAATGTTCTCAGAAGGAATACAAAAGAGGAAAAGACAAAACACCTTTAAGTAAATAATGGCAGAAAATTCTTCAAATCTGGAGCTAGAAATTAACATATAGATTCAGGAAGCCCAAATAACCCTAAATAAATATACAGTGATCTTTACCCAATGCATTATAATACAATTTTCAACTGCCAAAGGCAAAGATAATTTTTGAAAGTAGCAAGAAAAAATCAACTTGTCACATACAAGAGAACCATTATAAGATTATCCTCTAATATCTCAGCAGAGACCTTAAAAACCAGGACAAAGCTGAATGATATATTAAATACACTGAAATTTTTTTTTTAAAAATTGGCAACCAAAAATACTATAAACAATAAATCTGTCCTTCAGAAATGAAGGACAAATAAGAATTTTCCCAGGCAGATTAAACTGTGGAAGTTCATCACCACTAGACCTGCTTTAAAAGAAATACTGGCTGGGTGTGGTGGCTCATACCTGTAATCCCAGCACTTCAACAAGGCTGAGGTGGGGAGATTGTGAGGTCAGGAGTTTGAGATCAGGCTGGCCAACATGGTGAATCAACCTCTCTACTAAAAGTACAAAAATTAGCCAGGCATGGTGGCAGGTGCCTGTAATCTCAGCTACTTTGGAGGCTGAGGCAGGAGAATTGCTTGAACCCAGGAGACGGAGATTGCAGTGAGCCAAGATCATGCCTCTGCACTCCAGCCTGGGCAATAACAGTGAGACTCGATCTTTGAAAAAAAAAAAAAAAGAAAGAAAGAGAAAAGAAAAGAAATGCTAAAGAACATTCTTTTAGTTGAAAGAAAATAATTCTCATTGGTAACATAATAATATATGAAAATAAAAATCTCCCTGATAGTTTCTAAGGACATCCTGAAATTCAGAATACTCTAATACTATAATGGTAATGTGTAAATCCCTTATATCTTTAGTATGAAGATTTTAGGACCAAACTCTTTGAAATAATAGTAGCTACAATGATTTGTTAAGGCAGTGGTCCCCAACCTTTTTGGCACCAGGGACCAGTTTCATGGAAGACAATTTTTCCATGGACTGGGGGTTGAGGGGTAGGGAATGGTTTTGGAATTATTCCACCTCAGATTATCAGGCATTAGTTAGATTCTCATAAGGAGCATGCAACCTAGATCCCTCGCAGGTGCAGTTCACACTCCTATGAGAATCTTATGCCACTGCTGACCTGACAGAAGGCAAAGCTCAGGTGGTAATGCTTTGTCAGCCATTGCTCACCTTCTGCTGTGCAGCCTGGTTTCTAAAAGGCCACAGACTGGTACCAGATGGCAGCCCAGGAGTGGGGACCCCTGTTTTGAGGGGTACACAATATTAAAAGATGTAAACTGTGACATCAAACCCACAAAATGCTGGGAGAAGAGTGTAGAATTTTTCAATGCAATTGAAGTTAGGTTATTGTCAGCTTGACATAGCCTGCTATAACTATAAGATATTTTGTGTAAGCCTCATGGTAACCAAAACCAAAAACCTGTAGTAGATAAAGAAAATATTAGCATAAAAATAAAATTCAAAGCATACCACTGCATAAAATTGTCTAATAATAAAGGGAGAAAACAAGAGAGAAAGAAAGGGGATAAAATCTACATAACAGCCAGAAAACAATGATCAAAAGGGCAGTGTAAGTTCTTACATGTCAATGCTTACCTCGAATATAAATATATTATAATCTTTAATCAAAAGAAATGGAATGGTTGAATGGATAAACAAATAAGATCTGTGTCTATGCTGCTTACAAGAGATTCATTTAACCTTAAATGTATGAATAGGTGGAAAGCAAAGGGACGAAAAAAGATATTCTATGCAAACATATCAAAAGAGAGCAGAAGTACCTATACTGATATCAGATAAAATAAATTTTAAGTAAAAAATACTTAAATAAGACAAAGAAGATCCTTATAATAAAAGCATTTATTCATTAGGAGTATATAAGAATTATAAAAGCAAATACACAAGGCATCTGCGCACCTAAGCATATAATTCAATAGTTAATAGATTTAAAGGGAGAGCTAGACTGCAGAACCATAATAGTAGGGAACTTCAATATTCCTCTTCCCATTATGAGCAGATTACCTAGATAGACAACAACAAGGAATAAGGAAACACTATAATTGAATATTCCCTGAACCAAATGACCTCACAGATATATACAGAACATTCCAGTCACCAGAAGTAGAATATAAGTTTCTTTCAATTGCAGAAACAACATTCTCAAGATACATTTACATTAGGCCAAAAAAGTTTCAAATTTAAAAATAATGAAATCATATCAAGTATTCTATTTGACCACAATGGTGTGAATCTACAAATCAATAACAAAAAGATTTTTAAATTCACAAATAAAGTGAAAATTTAAAGACGTGCTTCTGAATAATCAATGGATAAATTAATAAATTAAAAGGAAAATTTGAAATTATCTTGAGACAAGCAAAAATGAAAATCCAATATATTAAAACTTACAGGATGCAGCAAAAAGTGGTTCTAACAAGGCAATTTATAGCAACAAATGTCTATATCAAATTTTTAAAAAACCCAAATAGACATTCTAATATTGCACCTCAAAATGCCAGAGAAAGAAAAACAAATTAAGCCCAAACTTAATAGAAGGAAAAAAATTGTAAGATCAGAGCAGAAAGAAATAAAATAGAGATTAGGAAAACAATGGAAAGTATCAACAAAACAAATAATTGGTTTTTTAAAAAGATAAACAAAATTGACAAACCTTTAGCTAGACTAGGAAAAAAGGAGAATAATCAAATAAATACAATCAGAATGGAAAGGCAAGATATTACAACTGATACCACAGAAATGCAGAGGATCTTAAATGACTATGAACAATTATGTGCCAACAAATTGCATAATGTAAAATAACGGATAAATTTCTGGAAACATATAACCTACCAAACCTGAATCATGAAGAAATAAAAATTTGAAGAGATCAATAATGAATATAAGAATTGAATTAGTAATAAAACATCTCCTGTCAAAAAAAACCCAGAAATTGGTGGCTTTCCTACTGAATTCTACCAAACATTTAAAGAACCAATACCAATTCTTCTCAAAGTATTTCTTAAAATTGAAGAGAACAGACTATTTACAAATTCATTTTATGAGACCACCATTACTCTTGCATGAAAGCCAGAGACTGACAACATAAGAATAGAGAATTATAGGCCAATATCCCCAAAGAGCATAGATGCAAAATTCCCCCAAAAATATCATAATGTGAGTTCAGCAGCATGGTAAAAGAATGATTCACCATAATCAGTTGGAATTTATCCCTGAAATGCAAGGTTGGTTCAACATATGCAAATCTGTAAATGTGATACACCACATTAACAGAATGAAAAACAAAAACAAATGATCTTATCAATAGATTCAGTACATGTATTTCACAAAATTCAACACTCTTTCATGAATAAAAACTCTCAAAAAATAGGTATAAAAAAACCTTTAATACAGCATATGCCAAAACCACAGCTAACATTGTAAATGGTGAAAAGTTGAAACTTTTTTCTCTAAGATCAAGCAAAAGACAAAGATATCCACTCTTGCCACTTCTATGTAATATAGTACTGGAAGTCATACCATTGCTATAAGTCAAGATAAAGAAAAGTCACTCATATCAGAAAGGAAGAAGGTTAATAATACCTGTTTAGAGATGACATTGTCTTATACGCCAAAAACCCTAAAGACTCCACAAAAAAACTGTTACAACTAATAAACAACTTTTGTAAACCTTCAGGATATAAAATCAACATGCAAAAATCAGTAGACTTTCTATATGATAACAATGACCTATTTTACCCAAAAACATGTACTATTTAGAAATAAATGAATAAAATTAAAAATGATCTTTTATTTTAACCAAAAACTATAAAACACTGATGAAAGAAATTGAAGAAGACACACACACACACAAAAAAGGTATTTCATGTTCATGGACTGGGAGAATAGATATTGTAAAAATGATCATATTACCCAAGTGATCTATGGATTCAATGCAAAACCTATTAAAATTCTAATGATGCTTTTGCCTAAATAGAAAAAACAATCCTAAATTTGTATGAGAACCAGAAAAGATGCTGAAGAGCCAAATAAATCCTGAGAAAAAGAACAAAGCTGGAAGCATCACACTACCTGTTTTTAAAATCTACTGCAAAGCTGAAGTAATCAAAACAGCTTGACACCAGCATAAAAACAGACTCATAGACCAAAGAAAATAATAAAGAGCCCAGACATGACTTCAAACGCCTAAGGTCAATTGATTTATGACAAAAATGCCAAGAACACCCAGGGAGAAAAAGATAGTACCTTCAGTAAATGGTGTTGGGGAAACTGGGTATCCATATGCAGAAAAATAAAAATAGACACTTATCTCACACTAGCTACAAAAATCAATTCAAAATGATCTTATAGTTAAGTGTAAGACTCAAAACTGTAAAATTATTACAAAAAAACACAGGGGAAAGGCTTTATAAGATTTTTTCTTGGCAATAATTTTTAGGATTGGACCACAAAAGTACATGAGCAAAAATGGAATCACATCAAATGAAAAAGCTTCTGCACAGGCCAGGAAACAATTAAGAGGGTGAAGAGATAACCTATGGAATGGGAGGGAATGTTTGCAAATGATTCATCTGATAAGAAATGAATATTCAAAATACATAAGAAACTTCAAGCAACTCAAGAGAAAGAAAACAACCCAATTCAAGAATGGACAAAGAACACAAATACACGTTTCTCAAAAGTGGACACAAAAATGACCAATAAATATATGAAGAAATGCTCAAAACACTCATCATCAGGGAAATGTATCAATAAATCAAACCACGAGATGCCACTTCTAATACGTTAGAATGAATATTATCAAAAAGTTGAGAGATAAATGTTGGCAAAGGTTTGGAGAAAAAGGAATCGTTGCACATTGTTGCTGGAA